GAAACCTTACATAAATATAGTAATCTTAAACTGCATTCTCCAGTAAACAAAATTGCAATCTATCATTCCAGGAGGTTTGTTTTTTTTTACTGTATACCATGTGACTTAAAATATTGAAAGTACTGCTTGGTTATTATAGGTTTTAATTTGTTCCTATTTCCCCTCAAAAGACTCTATGAAAGCATCTGCTCCTGTTTTTAAAGGATGTTATCTATGCTTTAGTCTCAGACTTAATACAATTAAAAAAAACCCTCCATACAACACAATTCACAAGGTCCCCTTTATACTGGATGTTACATTTTTAAAAAAATCTATTTTTCCTCATTAAAAGAAAGCATTGCTAGGATCCAGAACAACCCCACTGTATGTGCAATGTGCATCTCCCCAATGCATGTGGACAATGTCACAGCACCACATCCTGGGGAAAAGTTTGGCCTCATCAGTCTTTAGGAAAGATTTGAATACAGAGAGACTGGGAGTCAGTTCTGTTTGGCTTAGGAGGACCATTATAGGGGGCATCGGGAAGAAGGTATGGAAAGGAGAGAAAAACAAAAGGGATGGAAAAGCTGGCATCATTGGTGGAGCAAGGAGGTAAGTGGGGTCACAATAAGATCTGCAACGGCAGTCAGGTGAAGTTATGAACCGAAAGTTACGTAATATAAAAGTGGAGAATGAGAAGTTTAAACATGGTACAGTACCTGATCATATGACTGTTTTCTGATTGTTACTAGCATTTAATTATGGGGGAGCCAGGGCAGAGATTCAAAAAGAAGAATGATGTCATCTGATCGACAGGCATTTAGATCATTTGAGAAACTGCATTCTGGATGGACTGAGAGGAGCAATGTGGGACTCAAAGAGGCCACAGAGGAAGAGATTGTAAGAAACTGACCAAAGAGTGGACAAGCTTTTTATTTGTTGGGACAGAAAGAACAGGTCATATACAGGTCTGTCACATCTTAGGCGTATTTAACATGCGCGATTTAAGCTTTATGTGGTCGGCAAAAACAAACAAAACAAAACAAAAAAAAGAGAAAAATAACAATTTAAATACTGTTTCTGTGGTGAGGGCGATTCCGCCCGCCATTACATTCAATGTAATTTTGACTATACGCGATTTTCGCTTTAAGCGCTGACTGTGGAATGTAACCCCAGCGTAAGATGAGACAGACCTGTACTTTGATACGTTATGGAGAAAACAGCACCAGGATTTGACAACAGTGTGGATGTGTGGAAAGGGAAGAGTCAAAGATGACCATTAATGGTGGGAGGCTAACTGAAAGAAATGTGGCTAGAAAGCGCCTTGCTATGACAGTTCAGATACTCTGGTACTTAAATACCACAGTGATAGAAATCAGACCTTAGGCCTAGTCTTCACTTACCGGCTGGTCCGGCGGCACGCCATCGATGTTCTGGGATCGATCCCGGAAGTGCTCACAGTCGGCGCCGGTACTCCAGCTCGCCGAGAGGAGTACGCGGCGTCAATGGGGGGAGACTTCCGGCCGTGTCTGGACCGCGGTAAGTTCGGACTAAGGTACTTCGAATTCAGCTACGTTATTAACGTAGCTGAATTTGCGTACCTTAGTCCGAAGTCCGGACTAAGTGGGGACCAGGCCTTAGAAATAATATAGACAGACTGTATCAACTACATTTTCTTCTTCCATAACATTTCCAATATATATAGAAAATGTCAAGGGAAATATTCATAAGGATCACTGGTTATCAAGGCAATAATTCTAAGACACTAGAACTCTGATACATCTCCATTATAAAGGAATAGATACCATTGCTTACACAAGGGGACTATTGTGACAAGGTCATGTATAGGCTTTAGTTAGTGAAATACATTTGAGAATATTTGAATCAAATTTCTTATGTAAGGTGAAAATTTTAAAATGAAGCTGGCTGGTGCCTACAGCAGAGAAAGATGCCCTGCTCTGACCAGGAGACTGCATTTCCCTTCATAACTAGGAACCGACCCCATAAGAACTGAGTCCCAGTTTAGTGCCTTGTCCATTATCGATTACAGCAGTTTAAGGAACAAACACTCAGCCAGCAACTAAACACAAAGGCCAAGTAAATGAAGCATTGATGAAAGGTGTTGATCATATTACTACTATTTTCTGATTGTTACTAATATTTAGTTAAAGATATTTGAAGAGTTTTTAAAGGTATTTAATTAAATTGCTTCCTCAATAAGGGATTTACATATATCCTGAGGCTAGAAATAGGACTGAGATATGTGAATATCTGGCCCAAATTTTTACTTCTTGTCGTGTGTTGGTATATAACTGGGATCGGCAACCTTTGGCACACGGCCCACCAGGGTAAGCCCCCAGGTGTGCCGGGCCAGTTTGTTTACCTGCCGCGTCCACAGGTTTGGCCGATCGCGGCTCCCACTGGCCGCGGTTTGCCGCTCCAGGCCAATGGGGGCTGCGGGAAGCGGCGCGGGCCGAGGCATGTGCTGGCCGCTGCTTCCTGCCGCCCCCATTGGCCTGGAGCAGCGAACCGCGGCCAGTGGGAGCTGCGATCAGCCGAACCTGCAGACGCGGCAGGTAAACAAACTGGCCCGGCCCGCCAGGGGGCTTACCCTGGCGGGCCTCATGCCAAAGGTTGCCAATCCCTGGTATATAAATTCATATTATACTTTAGATAACATTAAGAGGACAGATCCTATAGTACTAAATAAACATTATAATCATTACCTAGCATCTCCTGACTTGCACCTCCCATCACTGTGTTGGCTTAAACTTTTTCAAACATTCTTCTATCCTTGTGCTACCCTCCCCTCCCCCCGATTGAACTCCTAAATTATTGGGCTAATTGGAAGACCATATTCAGATTTTATTATTAGGAATTTTGTACCTCTGTTTCTCTCACCAGAAGTAAAAAAGGTTGGCTGCATGATTTTAACACAACAAGTTTACAAAGCAGATACATTAGTGTTTGTTATTATTTTTGAGTGCATTTCTGTGCGTTTAATGTTATTTTAAAATGTAATATAAATAATAGCATCTCAAAACAACGTAAAACTCTGACTTTTGAGCATTCAGGCTGCCCCACATCTGCTAGCCCATTTACAAGTTTTTTCTATAGGCTAGCTATCCTACACTGTATTTTCTATAAAGTGGTAATGCTATAACATGCTCTTATATACATTTAACTTCCTTATTGAATTGCACATGGATTCCAATTCTGAAGTGCAAATAAAAATAAATCATGTTCAGACATTAATAATAGTAAGTTATTTGTCATGAATTAGAGAACTGCTGTTTTTAGAACGGCTGGCATTTTTCTCTGCTGTTATTTTTAAACCCCAGGTATAAACTTGAGTTGATTGTTCTTATTTGTTAGCAAATCTGAAAATTAAGTAATAAGATACAGTTCAGAACTTTACCTCTAGTCTGCCATGCGCACAGCCTAATAACAACAAGTTGGCTCTGTCCCTCTCACTGGAAATAGGAGACCAAGGCCACGCTCCGTCATTAGTCAGTGACCACCAGCAAATGACCATATCTTGGATACAATTTATTGACAGGTGACGTTTTATCCTTCTACTTGCTGGTCCAGGTATATCAATATAAGAAATCTGATGGAGAAAAGAATGCAGGAAATATTTAAAGTTATAAAAACAACATATTGGGAGCATTTACTGCAAGTAAAAATATACCACAGAGGACAATGCGTGTACATATAGTCATATACGCTACATCTAAATGTAAGAAATCTCTCTCCAGACAGAAAGACACATGCTCGCCCACAATTTTATCTATGGGGAAGGGATTGGGAAGGAGAAGGATGTGAGTTAAGCAGGAATTTACTGCAATGACTCCAATCAATACCAAAATGTACAGTCATGGTTACTTGACAGCATCGACCTACACAGGATTTAAACCCAGCCATATTAAATGACAAGTTCTGTGATGCTGACCAAGGAGCTAAGGCTACTGTTTAAGACACACATCATCAAACATTAAAGACAGCTCACAATGTTGAAAAGAGAATGTTTATTTTCCCCCATAAATTAAGGAATCCAGCCACAAATACCCACTTTGTAACAGACTATATACTTTTCTGCATAATGTGGATGAGCTACAGCATCATGCGTAAAGTTTATGCAGCTCTTGAGAATTGTGCCTCTATTTCTCAGGAAGGATTTGTGGAATTTATTATTCAAACTATGTTATTTTGGAGCATGGTTATTTGAAAACATGAGCAGTGCACCATCTGGGTGACACATGCCAAGGAAATATAGATTGCACCGCATTTCTGCTTAAGGAATTAATGGAAGGTTGATAGCTAGGGGAAAAAAAAAACTATCTTGCCATTGCTGGTCAGCAATAATCGAACCACTTTCTGGGGATTAAGCGCATGGCTAAGCCTACTGGACCAGACACTAGCAAAGGGCAGGGGGTCTTCTTATCAGAGAAATGCTTCTGGAGCCAGTCTCACTACATGACAGATTGCTTTCATATTCCTGTCTGCAAGGCAACAAAGGATGGCAGTAATGCGATAATGCCAGAGTGCAATGGGTGTTAAGAACCCGTTGCATTTATGTATTGTATTTAGTAAATAATCAGGCTCATCCAAATTGTGATCTCACCACTCAACCAAGGCCATTAAAATCAAGGTTAATGCTTTAATAATCCTTTGCTGTTTTTTATATGGTCAAAAAGAACCCTTTTCTATTTGCATGGTCATAATATTATTGACCTCTTCATCCCCTGAATACACATCAAAAGAAACTGAAATCAAAGTAATTACCAATGTTGTTCTCTCATAGTAAACATTTATCACCTTGTACTCTCTCCTCAATGTTGAGTAAATTGAAATTGACTAAAAAACCACAGAAGGGAAAACTTATAAAGGATCAATGTTTTCAGGATATTTATCCTGCACTTTTATTTGCCCAAATTCTGTCAATTTAAAAGTAGAAATATATGACATCCATGTAAAGTTTATCCAAGGAATGCTAACTTAACCACTTAGCTTTTATTTTATTATTCAAAAACATGCTGAGGGCATACTTAGATGAAAAATAAAAATACTTTATGGCTAACAAGCACAAATGCAGTCCCAGATATTAATTACAGTGCTGTAATTTTACCAATCATGTATCAGTTAAAAACAATATTATTAGTTTTTTTTAAACCTTATATATATATATTAGATGACACCTTCAACACTGACAGTCCTCTTGAGAATAGGGAATTGGTAGTAGTTGGTCTTATGTTTTGCCAGTCTCCAAGACTACATAGTGCTGTTGATTTACATAATAGCTCCAATTATCTTTATTCAAAGTGTCACTGTCTCGATGGGACCAAAGATGGTACTTTTCAGAAAGGAAAAAGATGCAGACAACAATGGGTTCACTTGGGTATATATTGTACACAAATCAAATTTCCAGCTAACTATGAAACATCTGTACAATTAATACTTCATCAGAAAGTTAGAGTACATTCCAAAGATAAACAGTAAACTCCAAAGCCAAGTCTTTCTATCCTCCTAGTCAGAGACATTGTGAAGAAAAACAAAACTATTTTTCTGCCTCCAAGCATTGAGGCTAAAAATAAAAAACTATCCATAAAATTGAGAAGAAAATAAGCCTGACTGACTCATTATTACTACAATACTGCCTAGAAGTGCCAACCAAGATTGGACACTATTATGTCAGGCACTGAACAAAGACATAGTACGATATGGTCCCCGTACCAAAGAGCTTACAATTTAAAAAGAGACTAGGAGGATATCCTTTTACAAATAAGAACATGAGAATGTAAGAATGGCCACACTGGATAAGATCAATGGTCCATCTACCCCAATGCCAGATTCTTCAAAGGGAATGAACAGAACAGGGAAATCAAGTGATCCATTCTCTGTCGTTCGGTACCAGCATCTGGCAGTCAGAGGCTTAGGGACACCCAGAGCATGGGGTTGCATCCCTGACCATCTTAGTTAATAGCCATTGATGGACCTAACCTTCACAAACTTATCTAATTCTTTTTTTGAACCCAGTTATAGTTTTGGTCTTTGCAACATCCCCTGGCAACAAATTCCACAGATTGACTGTGCATTGTGTGAAGAAGTACTTCCTTTTGTTTGTTTTAAACTTGCTGCCTATTAATTTCATTGGGTAAGCCCTGGTTCTTGTGTTACATGAAGAGCCAAATAACACTTCTTTCTCCACACCATTCATGATTTTACAGACCTCTATCATATCCCCCTTCCCAGTCATCTCTTTTGCAAGCTGAACAGTCCCAGTCTTTTTAATCTCTTCTGTTCTATTACCCTTAATCATTTTTATTGCCCTTCTCTGTATCTTTTCCAATTCTAATATATCTCTTTTGAGATGGTGCAACAGGGAGACACAGAAAGATTAAGTGAATTGCCCAAGGTCACACAGGGAGTCTGTGACAGAGACAAGGATTGAACCGAGAACTTGAGTCCTAGTCCTATGCTTTAACCAAACCTTGTTACATTGGTTTCCTCTGCCCTTTTGACAAAGCGCCCAGCTCCTGTGAATAAGGTAAATGATGAGGAACTGGTTTAGAAAAGAAGGCAACACTGTTATAGTGCCCCAGGCTTCCCATTGAGGAGCATCTTTGAGTCTTATCATTGTTGATTGCAACTCTACTGCTTACCGTGTCTGTGACCTAGTCATTGTACATTGGTTTGACCAAGGTAGTGCAGTTCTGAATATCTGTACTTTATAGGGGCGGCAGGTTTGTATAATTTTTGGTGGTGCCCAGAATGGGTCGAAGTCTCCTCCGCCACACCTGCCTAAGGCTCTGGGATGGAGTCTGGGTGTGGCAGGGGGTTTGCGGTGCAGGCTCTGGGAGAGAATTTGGGTGTGGGAGGGGTGCGGGCTCTGGGATGGAGTTTGGGTGTGGCAGGGGGTTTGCGGTGCAGGCTCTGGGAGAGAATTTGGGTGTGGGAGGGGTGCGGGCTCTGGGATGGAGTTTGGGTGCTGGTGCAGGCTCTGGGCTGGGACAGGGGGTTAGGGTGCAGGAGCGGGTGCATGAGGAGGTTTGGGGCGCTGGCTGCATGAGGGGGTTTGGGTGTTGGGTGCAGGCTCTGGGCTGGGACAGTGGGTTGGGGTGCGACAGGAGGTGCAGGGCCGGGGATGAGGAGTTTGGGGTGCAGCAGGCAGGCTGCTCTGGGGCTGGGACGGGGGGCCAGAGAGGAGGACTCCCCCAGCCCTCTCCCTGCTGGCGGAAGTGAGCTCCAGGGGAGGGAGGCCCCGCCCCCCCCCCGGCTTGACACTCACCCAAGCCCCCCTAGGCTGCTGCTCAGGAGGTCCCACCAGGATAACTCCCCCCCGAGTCGACTCGGCATCGCCTGCTGGGGGGGGAGGGGGAAACTGCCATGTGCCTCCTCCACTCCTCCCCCCGCAGGCACAGCAGCCACCTCAGCCTGCCCCCGGCACCGCTCCCTAAATTGTAGCTGGCAGCAGCAGCAGCCAGTGAGGGAGCGCAGCACGGAGCTGCAGGGGGTAGCTGCCCGCTGCCCACGGCAGGCAGGGATGCTCGAGGGAGGAGCGCAGGGGCGGCAGGCAGGGCCGGGGGGAGACACCCGGCCCCGAACATTGGTGGAGCCGAGCCCCCCGGGCCCTGAATTTGCTGGAGCCCAGGCACCATGGGCTCATATAACTCGCTGCCCTGGGTACTTTACTACAGAAAGCTGACATAACAGTCTTGCATTAGTGAATAATACTTTGTGGTGGCTCACACTGCTGCAGTTTATAGATAATTAAAATTATATTTTGCTGCCTAACTAGTAAGCCTGACACAAAAGAGCATGCCAGTAAAAATGCTAATGCCTTTTTTTCTGTCTGGCCAAAACATAATCCATAGTCATTCCCACTGATTTCTAGAGCAGTGGCTCTCAACCTTTCCAGATTACTGTACCCCTTTCGGGAGTCTGATTTGTCTTGCGTACCCCAGGTTTCACCTCCAATTAAAAACTACTTGCTTACAAAATCAGACATAAAAATACAAATGTCACAGCACACCGTTACTGAAAAATTGCTTACTTTCTCATTCTGTCTATGTGGAATTTTAGTTTGTACTGACTTCACTAGTGCTTTTTATGTAACCTGTTGTAAAACTAGGCAAATATCTAGATGGTTGATGTACCCCCCTGGTAGACCTCTGTGTACCCCCAGGGGTAGGGGTATCCCTGGTTGAGAACCACTGATCTACAGAAAGCAATGTTAGTATCGTAGATAGAAGTCTTCCAGAAGCTCAGCTGTGTCAGTAAACCACTAAACAAAACAACCCTATTAAGGAACACAGAGGGTATGTCTGGTTTCCTAGCACAGTGAGATGTTTCTATGGATTAGGTTTTCATTCTTCCCCAAGAAAAAAGTCACCACAGTTAGTCCAGAAACACACTTAGTAGTATCCAGAAAAAAACTGTGATATATAAGGATAAAGCTACATCGGAGACGGAGCCCTTACCAGGAAATGATCATGGTTCAGCTCATTACAGTTTCTCAGTTAAAGTTTAGGGGCATAGAGATCATCAATCTTGCTTCTAAAGTAGCAACCTTAACAAATACCTATAGGCAAGGCACAAGTGTGCATCATTTTAAAGTAAAGTATGTATCAGCTCAGTTCCTAGTGAACAGTGAACTGTCTCAAATCCACGTTACAGAGGTTGGCTCAATCTCGCAAACACAAGTCACTGCTGAAAAGAGGCCTTGAGCTGAAACAGCCTGGAAAATGTATTACTCACCCTAGCAGAAAGTATTCCTACCTTGAAAGTTAAAATGTGCTATGACAAAACTTAAATTAAACACATCCTTGAAAAAGCCTGCTATATAGATGCAAATGCTCATATACAAAGAAACAAATTACCTGGAGGTGATCAGGAGGAAAATACTAGCTAGCACAAGGTTCTTTCTCTTAATATTTATCCAGATTGTAATAAGTGCAAACTCCCTCCTCTTGCTTACTACATATCTTCCTAGCCTTTTGGGGAAGATGGTTCTCTGTCCTCTATTCTTGCAGTGAATTAGAAACTTCAACCTTTCTGTTTGAAGCTAATGGCCTTCAAAGAGAACCTGGAGGATTATTATCATTGTTTATATTGCACTAGTGCCTACAGGTCCCAGCTGAGGTCAAGGCCCCTTGTACTAAAAGCCAAAGAGGTTATAATCCAAATAAACAAACGCCAGGAGAAAGGGAGTATTACAATCCTCATTTTACAGCTGGGGAACTGAGCTACAGAGAGATTAAGCCATGTGGCCAATGGAACTGTACTCATGTCTTTCAAGTTCTAGTCCAGTGCTTTACCCATAAAGCCACCCTCTCTCCCATACGCCTAGGGAATGAGCATTGTAACTAGAGGGAAAATTATGGCTTCTACAAACAATTGTAACACAGCAGCAGCAGATTCACATGGCTATGATGTATCCATGGTGGTGTGTAGAAGGGACTTCCATCTTGAACGGTCTCTTGCACGTCTTCTTCCTTTGACAAGAGTCAGTTTGAGAGGATTTACAGTTCTTAAATCCCCCAGAATTGCATCTTCAAACCTCATTCATGGTTGGCCTCATGCTCTGCTTCCTTCAATCTCAGCTCTACAAACCTTCTGCAAGAGCATACCTCCTTCTGCATGTTGGACATGACCCCACCATTGCAGTCATCTTGATCTCAGCTGGTGCAAGACTGCAACTTGCTGGGATCATCTAAGTGTTTCCTCATTTGTGACAAAAATCAAATCAACCTAACTTTTGGCACTGACAACTGTTTTGTTTCCTCTCCTCAGCTGTTTTTAATGGCCAAGGTTCTGCTCCATACAGCCCGGGTTGCCATCACTACTGCACTGAATATTCATATCTTAGTTGTAACACAGACATCCCGCCACCCAATCAGAGGCCTCTGAAGATGCTGAAATGTGTCCAATGTGATCCAACGTGCGACTCCTCCAGTTACAGAAGTGTCTGCTGTCAACCGACTACTCAGATAAATAAAACTATTCACTCATTCAATGTCATTGTCCTCTACATATCATGCCAGCAGGTCATTAGCTTCCATTTTATAGGAGGCATGGATAGCTTTGGTTTTATCACCCTGCCATTTTTTGCAGCTCTTCCAGCATTAGCTGTAGTTGGGCCGTAGTCTCTCCAATATCATCCACATACTCAAGATCTTCTACAGATGAATAATTAAATTTCACACCTCCTACTTCGGCCTCAGTCAGCTTTGTAGCAATCTTTAAACTAAATAACTGTAACAATCTTACACTAAATGTATGAAAAATTGGACCCTTATTGGCATTTAGATATTTTCTGACTTTGCAATAACAGTTCATTTTTTAGAATGTAAAGTATTTTGATTAGAATGGCAGGTAAAGAGCTATGTCAAAGACCAGCATTTTACTGTGCAATACTCTATCCGTCAGTGCTAGTGGTCCATAACATAAAGTTACTACGGTATTTACAGACATCATTGACAGCTATACCTTAAAATCCAAGGATGAGAGTTTTTCCAGTCTTTTGTTTACATCAGGAGAACCTGTCTTCTTTGTAAACTGAATGAAGCAGAGTTTGTTTTGCTCCCAAAATGACAAGATGATGAAACTGTCTGTAAGAACAGCTGAAAAACAAATAAAAATTGTCACCACTGTAATACCTGCTACCAATAACAAAACAAATTACTGAGTTCTCCACTGAGACACTGCAAAAAGCAATTTTTTCAAGACCACGTCTTAAATATTACATTGAAGCCTGTGTAATCTCCTAAAAGACATCAATGTGTCATCTTGCCAGGACCTTCTTGGAAATGAGAAATAAAGCTTAGGGAGTACTCAGATTAAATAAAACTGAATAAATTATCTTATACCAAGTTATCACTCTAATCAGACGTATGTTTTATTCCCACCCCCCCATCTGCATCTTGGTACCTTCCTCAGTCCCTTGCCCAAAGCAACTCCCATTGATATTTTGGGATTGTGGCTTTGTACAACATTGTTTGCATTTGGGCTGGTCAAATGCAAATCATTATTTGAATTGGATTTGGTAATTTCAAGAATAAACAATAAGTGATGTAACAGCAGTAAGATTCCAGATGCTACCACAGCAGTCAAGAATGTTGTTCCTTATAATACTGTTGCTATGGGCAAAAATGAACCCGTTGAAAGCTTAACACAGGACATTCTGCCTCTGTGCTCTTGATCTAAACCACATGCATGTCTAAGAGTGGATGTACTCCCTTGAAGTCTGGAAAATGTCTATGGAATCACAATTGTGTTACCATATAGTATAAATAGAAATATTTAAATGTAAAATAAATTAACTAGCACTACAAACAGAGAAAACACAGGTGAACAAAGAAAATGAGCGATACAACACTGCCAACAATTTAGGGGTTCCCCCAAACATTGCACTGCTCTCTGAACTGTGAACACCTGTAAGAGAATATCTGAGTGTTCAGACAGCCAATGGATGGTTAGTACCAGATGGCTGAAAACTCCTCTTTGGACAGAACCATGACTATAGTCAAAACGGTGAGATTTATTTTCAAGAATTAAATGCAGAAACCTATACGAAAGGGACACCATCAGGTAAAAAAAAATTAAATAAATTACCTGGTTAAAAAATTCAATTAAAAAATGCCTTGCATTTGTGACTAAGACCCTAGATTCTTAAATATATAAGAATTTTTATAACATACTTTTAATAATTGATATTGATAGCGTATTCTTGCATTATACTCCACTTGAACAAAGAAAATAAACTAGTCAGCTTTGCTTTTGTTTGCAGTCTGTTTTACAGCCAGCTGCACTGTCAGATTGTCAGGTATTAGCACAATGCTACAACATTTGGTATGCAAATGTCAAAGGAAAACGTTTGGATTTAAACAAACTGTGATCACTGATATTTAAAAATTTCATAAAAGCAACTCTGTTAATACTAAGTTTTGAAACAAAACTTTGGGCCTAAACTACCTGACATTGCCCCTTTGATGCAACAGTTGAGATTTTAACACACACAAGAGAATTCAAAGTTATAGACATGGCTCTTTGTATATATGCAATTACATACACTGTATTACTAGAAATAAACTTTAACATATATTTATGCTACACTAGAGACAGGCCTACATCAAACCTCACAACACTCCTGAAATTTTGGTCTAAAGACAGACTAGGGGTCGGGGACCCATGAGCAGGTGGGAGTGGTGAATAGAGAAAGTTGGTTCTTCAGTCTCAGCAAAGCTCTGGTTGCCTGGGTTTTGGCTGAAGGGGCGGGGAACAGGAAAGGTGACTCTTATTGTTTAGACTGGCAGCACAGCTGGGTCATTCAGAGACACCTGGTGATAGCTAGGGTGCAAAGCTAAATTATAGGATTGGGTGTGGGAAAAGATTTCAAGAGAGGGTTGGGTGGAAAAGGAGGGGTATAAGATATTATCAAAGGGATTGCCGTCCATTCATAATTCTTCTTTCCTGAATCAGGCATACATTCAAGACATTCAGTTGCCATCAATACCTGTAAATCTGGAGTATCTGCTTAGATGAGCACACCCAGGAAAAGGCCTACTTCCTGCACCAGATTAGGCCTAAAACAATGGTCAACCCTGGTTATACCATTGCTCACAGAGCCCCTTAAAGAGAATTGGAATGCTGCTTTACAGGGTCATAATACCCCAGCAAGCTTTTGAATATTAGGTAGGGTATCGGGCTATGAATCCAGCACATGCCTGTCATGAGACCACAATGTCTCAACAGAATTTAGGCATTTTGAAATGTCAAGAGACACGGACGGTAGTTATGACAATCCTGCCTGTTCTGAGAGTTGTGTGGCTTTGATTTATGTAAATGGCGTCTTTTTCCATACCAAACTTTTCTTTATTTAGCCAATTCTATTCTACGTTATAACACAATATAATAAACTAAACTTACAACAAATAAGTTTGTCTCTCCTTCAGAGTTGCAGCCACAAACTTTTACATATTCCATAGATCAAAATTATATTTAATAAAATATTACGGTTAAATGGCTAAACACTCAAAAGTCAGGAAATATTAAAGTTAAGGTTATATATGCAACCTTAGTTCTGCACCTTGTGGATGCATTATGTTACAATCTATAATTTTAGGATGGCATACTACTTCTCAAGCCATATAATATAATCATAAAAGTTATACACATTTGTGGCATATTGTAATATTTCCCATTTTTCTACATATATCATTGTTAAAATGGACTGATATCTTTGGATTTAGGCTCCTTATATATTAAACATCATTGAACAATGAGAAATTATTTTAATGAGTTTGTTAGAACCCACATACTAGTTTATTTTCAATCATCAGCAGAGGCTTCCTTAAGTGCAGTTCACAAGAGAAGGAAGTTAACTATAAAGCTATTTCTTTGTGAATTTAGGTGGCTTTGTATGGCAGCAGATTTCCATACTCTTTGTTGTATATTTAGGCCCTGATCCTGCACTCTGATTCATGTAGATGGACCCCAGTGCCCAGGCAAACCTCCACTGACTTCAATGGGGTTTTGCCTGGGCATGTCTGTCACTTTGGGTCAGTTTGGAGGATCGGGGCCTAAATCTATAGCGTGTTAAGTGAATTTCTTGGGCTTTAATCTGATATTGAGCTGATTCGAATTTGGCAACAGATCTTTTCTCACCCCCAGGTATTCTGGTCAGTCCTCAGAATGTATGATTGGACATTTCTGTTGTAAATAAGTTAGGTCCACATGCATGTGCAGCATATTCATTCTTTGCTGCACATTTTATGATAGCAAAAAGAAAAAAAAACCCTCCAAACCAAACCAAATATAAAACAGACTCTAAAAGCCTCACAATTAGGGCAAATTCAACCTAATGTCTTCCAGAGAAATTTCTTCTGTACATCGTTTTGCAAAATTTCAACTCCTATTGTCTGGGCAATAGAGAGCTCCAAAAAGTTCACAAGAATTTACTTTTTAAAATAGAAAAGAACTTTTTTTCTCTCTCTGACTGTTAAGATTTATTAATTTGAAAGAATGATTAGACTTAAGTCATTTTTAATTTTAAAAAAGCTCTGAAAAAAGTATACAAGCCAGGGAATTCTAAACGACCGTCAGAGCACCTAAGTCCCTTTGTGAATCTGGGCCTATAACCCCAAACATCAAAAGGAGCTCTCATGCACTCATACATATGCTTGGACTGTAGCTTTCTTTGAGTATTCAGAGTAAAATTCACATCTGCTCAGACTCAAACTGAAATTGCATATTCTTGGTCATTCAGATGCCAGGATACTAATGTTCGATTACAGTTCTCAGTGGAGGTTTGCAGCGGAACATTAACAAAATAAAAATAAAGACTTTCATATGACGAGGTTCTTGAAAACCGACGTATTTCATATACAGTGGATTTTTAAATAAACACGTCTCATTGCAATAGCAGTCATTAATAATTAGAAATATTGATTTCCTGGGAGCTGGCAATCTAGAAATGCAGCCAGTACAGCTCAATACGTGCATGGCTATCCTGCCATTTTTGATAACTGAGCATTTTGTATATGTAAAAATCCGGTGTAATTATTTCATTATTATCTGCTTCTGTCACTTTTCCCTGTATATGAAGTAAGCATGCCAACAATTGCATGTGCTAGTGTTTAAAATGTGTAAGAAAATGAATTTTAGAAAATCCATTCAATATTTGACAAGACTGAAAACTTTGATGTTAAGTATTATTCCCAAACTGTTCTTGGTCCTGAGGGTTCTAACTATGGCATTACATGCAATTACTTGTTGTGTTTGCAAGTCCCCAGTGGCAATAATTAGTCTACCTGTTGACATACTATTTCTCCTGCTCTATTGTTAATGTAGGCAATTGATTTGCACATGGGTGTAATTACCATCACTGATGGTGTCGGAGATGAGCTTCCCTGCCAGGGTCCTGTCAATCACCACTTTCTCCAGCTGTGGCCCAGAAAGGCTTAGGGACACCAGTACACCTGAATGAAAGAGGAGCTAAATCCAAGAAGCCAGAAAATCAGACATCAGGAAACAATAATCAAGAAACTCGAATGTTCCAAAGTACATACTAACATCCCTCTCTGATATATGGTAATCTAATTTACAAAATAACAAGAAGTCTTTTATCTTGGCCAACAAAATATATTATACGCACTATGAAAGCTTTATCAACGAAAAAGAGAAACAGGATGAAAAAGCAAAAGAGAAATGTACTGCGACATGTGTACAATAACTATTTATGCTGATCACTTCAAAACTATGGGCCCAAAATCTCCATATGTTGCATGGATTATACAGAATTCAGATGCTGAAAATTGTGATTGAAATCTTGCCCTGTACGGATAAAGAGGCCAGTCTTATCAGCAAGTGTATTTTTAAGTACCAAAGACACATAATGTTGCATTTTTTCCCTGCTGCATTTCATTCCTCAGAAAAAACATAGTTAACGCTGTAGTATGCTTTATGTAACATTTTCATGTCTATAGACATTTTAAAAACTAAAGCCAAGATTTTCAGAAGTGTTTAGTGATTTTGGATGCCTCAATTCTTGGGTGCTCAACTTGACACACATAAAAGGGATCTGATATTCAGAGGTGGGTGCACAGCACATTAGTGAACTATCTTTTCTTATGTGTTTGTACTGCACTGAGCAAATTTGGGTCTTTGGGTGCTACCGCTATATACATATTTAATAATTATAAAAAATAACGTCATATCCTCAGTCATCAGATGCTCTAAAAGTTGCACTTGAACTTTAATTTCACCTCAGTTGCACACAGACATTTAAAACATCAGATTTCTTCCATCCCTATTATCTTTAATCATTCATGTGCTTTTAAATGCATATAATGGTGTCTAGATACCCCAGTGATGGGCACCTAATGAATTCACACATTAATGATGTTGTCTGGCATGAGGTCTCAGAGGCCTCCCAATAAAGAAGCAACTTAAAGCCTAAATACAGGCAGGAGAGTGTCTCAGGCACATTTCGGAGTTAATCAAACATCCCTATTAAAGTCACCTCTATTAAGCGGCACAGACTGTACTGCAAACTGAGTCACAAGGAACAGCAGTCCTTTCTGATGCCATAGCTTGGATAAGGGGTGCTGCTTGGTGAGAGGGACAAGCGAAGCTTTGTTTTCGCCTAATTAAATCACAAAACGCAGTAAGAGTTTGAATTAAATCCACCATTGCAAAGTAATGCAGAATAAAGATCGAAAACCTCAGCTCCACTGTCAGCTGACGCTACTGTGCCAGGGTACTGCAGCATAAGCAGTAGGTAAAATCACTATTATGCTAAAAAAATATTTTCTGGAATATCTTGATAAAAAGGGTAATTTGGGTCTCTTTGCCCATATATGGACTAACTGGCTACCAAAATTTGGGGAGAGGGATAGCTCAGTGGTTTGAGCATTAGCCTGCTCATCCTAGGGTTGTGAGTTTAATCCTTATGGGGGCCATTTAGGGATCTAGGGCAAAAATCTGTCTGGGGATTGGTCCTGCTTTGAGTAGGAGATTGGACTAGATGACCTCCTAAGGTCCCTTCCAGCCCTGATATTCTATTTAAAATTTTTTTAGGTGTTTGTATTTTTTACAGTACCCTTAATGTGTATATGTCTATGAAAAAGCATTGAAGAAAATCAGCAATGTGAGTTTGATCCCCTGGTGTACCACAGCACTGCTCAGTGCATCTGGGGGGAGGGTATTTAACTGGCATTATGCCACCTTCCCTTCTCCCACTGTATTGGCATATATGGGCCCAAAGATTCAGAGGTGTTAATATGACTCTGTCACTGTCAAACATTAAACAGTTGTAATCAGTTTTGGGGTCTGCTATACAGAGATCTCAGCAGATTAGTACCATGGCAAACACAGCATTAAAAATCTTTTTAACCTTTTATTAAAGACACAGAAAATAAGACAAAACAGTTAAAGCCTTTGAAATGTAAACTATTAAGGAAGGCTCTCATTTTAACAACATTTCTTGTTCCCCTTCCCTTGAGCTGGAGAGGTTTTAGAAGGAAAACCCTCCCTAGCGGACAGTCTTTTAGACAGCATTAAAGGCAGCAACAACTCTCCTTTTGGGGGAAAAGACAAGAAGTTAGTTGAGATAGTCTGGAGCCATTCTTTTTGTTGGTGTTCTTAAAGTCCAATCCTGTTTTCTTGAAGACAAAACAAGACAAACACACACAAAAGGGGAAAGAAAAGAACAGAACAGATTTTAAAAATGTAGTTTTTGTCTCTGGTGCTGTCTCTCACTTGCAACCTCATGGCTGGAAAACACAGACACAGCACTCTGTCTTATTAACCACCCAAGAGACGAGGCAAATGTGTACCAACATTGGGTACTTAGGACCTTGCTTTTGGCTGTCTTTCTGGTCACAGACTAACAAAATGTTGCAAAATACAGTCTTGGCCAGCTAACCCAGAGTCTTATTAGACAGAAGGCAAAAGCAGAGGACTAGGAAAGAGAAGAAATAAGATGGGGAAGGAAAAGAACATCTTTCGGGACTAGGACAACGAAGGCCCAATGGTGTCAGAGTGGATCCTGGCATCCCGGAGATGATGGGGTTGGGAGCCATAATGGTGAGGCTTGCTCCTTCCTGTTCTCCCATCTTTCAGTCAGCCGGGATCCACAGCCGCTAATTTCCCCCTCAAAGTCTCTTTCTGAGGACCCCCAAAGGGAGTGATGAGTGAAATAGCCCATCCCTCATTATTTTGTCCACCAATTAGAACTAATTTCCAACACACCAATTTTGGTTCACTGATTTCCGGCCCACATTTTATATGTTTACCAAGCGTGATCTCTGAACAGTCCTTGAATTAGATCAGTAAGCCTTTTTGTGTAGACCAATTCAGTTCATTTGTCTCCCTTTTACACCTTTCCCCACCAACATTCATTGTTATAGATTATTGTAACACATTATAAACTTTTACCTACTTTTCTCACAATATCCCTCTGATTATCGCACTAGACCCACTTAAATGCCTGGTGCAGAAGAGTAGGGGGATGCGGAGGTCCTCCTCCCCAGTGGTAAGCTAATAAAGTTACAGCCTGCTGCTTAAATTTAGCCCTGTGTCTGTCTTCATTCAAATGTGTGTCCCAATCAACTCTGTAGGATCTCTTCTGCCAGCATGGATCGCTGGACCACATTGTGCTCTGGTCCCACCCCTTATGCCACCTCTTCCAGAGACAGAAGTAGCTGGTTATGCCAGCCTGAAACCTGCTGAGATTTCCTCTATATCAGAGGGGTCTTCAGCTGTTGCATTAAGGCAGCCTTAAGCCCTCTTTGCATCACTGGAGAAGCACAAAGAGGACTTACCAGGGGCCAAGGATCCAGGATTGTATTTATATTTCTAATTTAAATATTTATATTTTTAGAATTCTATATTTTAAAAATGTGATGCCAGGCAAATGCTTGCTTTTCTAATAGATGTTATCATAATAACCCACGTCTACTCTATGTCACAGGTGTGAAGCAAACATTGATGTACAGCATGCTGTTAGATGGAATACCAGGCAGAACTTCCTTGCAGTGAGATCTATTAAATTGTATAATAGTTTCCAGAGGAAGCAGCAGGAGCACCATTACTTTAGACTTTTAAAAATGAACTGCAAAAGCAGTAGGAAGTATACAGTTGGGAGCAAACCTGGATTGTAAGTGGCCGGGATTAGATGACCTCAGACCATCTCTAATTCATATGAACCTATTATGTCGTCAGATACAGCAGATATTTTCATTTATGAATTTTCTTTCTGAGTTTTGTATTTTCCACATTTTGATTGAAAGGGAAGAGAATGAAAGATTTCATTTGACTGTGCTGAAGTATAGGAAGCAATAGGGACAGGAATTTGATTATCTCACCTGCCTATCTCTGTTGGCTTTCTTTCTCATCTATGCCCCTACCTTTGCAAAATGGCAGTTATACACATCTTAATGAATGAGTATAAATGTTATGCACCCTGCAGCACTGAACAGAACAACATATAAACAAATGAACTATTTCCCTCTTTTCTTTATTAATATTTTTAACCAAAAACTCTCCACTCCATCTCTTTCCTGCTAACTTATATTAGGTTTTAAAAACTAATTGGCATGACATTTCAAATACAAACTAAACATACCTGACATGCAAAACAAATACATGAAAAGCAGAAGAAATTTTTTTTTGTAACCTCCTATCCTGACAAAGATGAATATTGTGTTAGTCTGAAAGCACATACAATAATTCAAGAGAGTCCCAGTCATGAAAGATGTCCTTTAAGGTTCTGTCCTAGTAAAAATGTTAGACACAGTCAAACGCCTGTAGTTTTTATTACAACTTTTCAAAACTTCAATTTATCCTTATGTTGTAGTTAGACTAGATAAAATCACAATTTATTTCCAACTTGCTAACGTGAGTCCAGCAAGGTCTGACTACAGTTAGTTATAACTGTCTAATGAATAAAGCTAAAAAAGTAGAGGGGAAAAATTGACCAAATTTAAACGATGAGAACAAAAAGGAATACATTTACCACGAGAAATTCTCCATAATCTTCTGAATTGTGCAAACTCTAAAAAGCCAGGGATTATCTAGTAAGCAAAAATGTTAGTCTGCAACAGAAGAGCAAAACACCCCAAATCCTTCAGTTCCAAACTGGAGGGAGATTTGAATAAGGGGGGTTGTGTAAATAAATTCCCTATCACTTGTGCTCTACAACTTCCTATGCTTGGGAGTCAATCTGTCTTTTCATCCAGGAAAAGTTCCTACAACCTTAGGGCATAAGAAATTTCCCCTTCTCCAAAGGTGAGATGCTGTAGTGCTCTGCATTTACCTGAGAGAAGAGGGCAGTGGATAAACCAGGTGAATCAGAGGTCTGTTGGCAGCTTCTCCCTATTTTACAGGGTAGGGATATCCACCACGTCTCTCTAGATAACAGCTGGGAAGAATGCTTTTTGGTTTGTGACCCCATTCAGTCAGCAAGAAAGGTACCTTCCACCTCTCAGATGACT